ATACAACCAGTAGCTTCCTTTGCCGTGGGGATGCCAATGCCATCGGGACCACGTTTTCCAGGCAAACCTGGTGGACCCGGTTCACCATCCTCGCCAGGAGGTCCAGGCGGACCTTGTGGTCCTTGTGGACAACTTGTTGGCGCAGGTCCACAGTTGCAATGAGCGGGCCATTGTCGTCGTTGTCGTGAGATGCCAAAGACGCTTCGTTTATCTCTTGAGTACGGAGGTCGCATCTCATACCAAGCTGAGTTTGCCATGTCCTAGAATAGAGTTGTTCATATTGTAAAATGTGAAGAGAAATCACCTTGAAATCCGAAAGCTCTTCAACTGCCTCATCATAGAAACTATTGATGTCGTTGACAAGGTATAAAACGATAAGGATGGAGAATGCTGTTGCCGTAGCCATCAGACCGGCTACGCCGGTCACTATCGTTTGGGTACCCATCTGAAAAACATTGTTGAAGTTTTCCACTAACTTGATAGAAACAACTCTAATGAAAACTCACCACGAACAACCTAGTCGGTCGCTGAAGTACACGTTTGCCTCGAACGTTCAGCTTTATATGCTGGCAATTTTCACAATGACTTTACAGCGCTTTTAGGTGCATCGATGTTTTCATTTTCATCATACTGAGACCATAGTTTTTACTTTTAACAAAATGTCTCGTAAGGCGTTCAGATAAAGCGGTAAGTCAACTTTTTTGGTCGCCATTGCCCGCCTCCGTTCATGTGCGGCTTTGTTTAGCTTTCTCTACGCTAGTGTTTCTACCACTATACAACGTTCCATGAGAGTATCTCGTTTAATTATGAGCGTAAGTCTCGCAGGAACCGCGGCATGTTGGCATTAATTGACGTGCGATGTCAAAAAGAATGACGCAATGTATACGCGGAGTCACGATGACTTAGAGGTAGTGGGGTTAAGTTACGGAAGTGCGAGACATAACGAAGATACCCATCAGCGCATCAGGAGTCTTCGCTTATCATATGACAAAAGGTTATTAGATATTTGGGAAAATAGGAAGTATCTGTTGCTTCATGCGGTAATTGTCGCGTATTCTGAACAATGAGTATGCTCGTACAAACATTTCCTACAAACCTTGTAAGTACAGAATAAAAAGAATAAAAGTGCCACTAAATTGAAAAGTTTTTGGGACATAACGTATTGAAAACAATACTGCGACACTTCTAAGTCATACATAGCGGTTAAAGAACAAGGTTCAAAGGAGCGATGTTATTGACTATACGTTCTGTTATATTAGGTTGGCGGATAATTTCTGTTACACTTTTTT